GCAGGAGTAAACAAGTATAATATCATCAAAGTAGGTTATTGCCACTCGTATAAGCATATAGATCTGTTAAGTAGGTGCAAATTAGTTTTAAAAGTGTCAAAGTAGGATCAATATTTCGACGGGATAAGTATCGCGATATCGTTCTCCTTGTACACGTCGTCTTCGCGCTATCGTTCTCTTTCTCGCACGCGTTGTCTTCGCGCTATCGTTCTCTCTTTCGCGCGCGCTAATTGCAAATCTCGCGATATTATCGTTGTCTCTCTCGCACGTATTGTTTTGCGCTATCGTTCTCTCTTTCATATAACTCGTTGCTCATTTACCTTTACGTCGTCCTTCTCCCACTATGCGTCGTCCTTGTCCCACGATGATGTCATCCTTGTCGCACTCGTAGCACTATCCTTTTTCCACACGTAGCGCTGTCCTTCTCACACCACCGTCTTCTTTTCGCGGATCCCCCTTCACCACGCGGATTCCCTCGTCCATCGCTTGCGCCGCTGATCCCTCTTCACTGCGCGGACCCCCTCGTGCATCGCTCCCGCCGTGGATCTCCCTTCACTGCGTGGACCTCCTCGTCCATCGTTCACGCCACGGTTCCTCCTTCCCCGCGGGTGACGTCACCCTCCGCGCGCCGCGGTTTCTCCTTTCCCGCGCGTGACGTCACTGCCCCCGCGGTTCTCCTCGCGCCTCACCCCCCCCTGAGAGGATCTGGGTTAGAACCGGCATAGCTATACTACTATATCTAATAATCGACGAAGCAATTTATTTTATAATAGGATACTATCGTGTCAATTATGATATCGAAAATTGGCGAAAAATTGTGCAATATTTAAATTCTGAAGAATACAAAAATATACATATTCTTAATCGAGCGCAAATTATCGATGATGCATTCCATTTTGCAATAGAGAAGAAACTTAATTTCTCCATATTTTGGGAACTCATTAATTATTTGCGAAAAGAGAAAGATTATATAACATTATATAGTATCCTATGATCAAAGCTTTTGAATTTATGTCGAATATTTTCGTACTCTTAGAATTTTACCCTCACTTCGAGGTAAATATAATAATAAATTTTATCAAATTTTTTATTAAACCAATGCGTAATATATACCGTAAATTCATAATATATGCATATTATAATAGTGAAATAATTCTTAAAAAATTAGATACATGCAAAAAATTAAAAAATGAAATTAGTTATATAATTCCTTCTTCGTCAAAAGTCCAAAATCCAATTTTAAAGAAATATATAAATTTAAAAGACTTGTTTTTTTAAATTTAATAATTATATGTTATAAAATTTTGGACTTTCTGTATTCCGTTTTTCCTATAATACTAATATTGTGTAAAATTTATATTTTAAATAATATAATTTATATTTAATTTTATAAAATTATAGATTACAATTACAATTATTTTCGTTATATTTATTTTCCTTCGTTATAAAATATTTATGGCGGGATAAAAAACTTGGAAATATTTTACACAGACTAAATCATACTTTTCATTTTGTTAAATTTTATACAAAACATATTAATCCATTTTTAAATGCTTGTTTTTTTGGAAGAAGAATTTGTAAATGATTGTTTTATAAAGAAAATTTTACAAATTTGATATTTTTTAAAATCAATATTTGTGTTACATGCATCATATTTAAATTAAATCAATTGAAAACAGAGGATCGCGTTAGCAAGTTCATCGATGTATCAATATATACAGAGTTATATCACATCTAAATATATATATTATTGATACATATCTATACAGAGCAATCTCTTCCTAAATAAAGCTTTTGTAGCTTAGCTCGAGACCTTTCAAAACACTATAATAAAGTATTTTTTTATTGAGTATTTTTCGAATTATGAGGCTGGAAATAATCTCTTAATTTACATAAACCATAAAATATTTAGTAAAATATTCATTTTTTTATTATATTACCATAATTTTCGTACAAAATACTTTCGCACAAAATAAAGATAATCGAAACGTGAATATTTTAACTAAATATTTTATTAGTTTATGTAAAAATTAAGAAATTATTTCACGCCGCTATACTTCGAAAAGTACTCGATAAAAAAAATACTTCATTATAGTGTTTTGAAAAGCTTTCGAGGTAAGCTGCAAGAGCTTTTTTTGGGGAGAGATTGCCCTGACATCCTGTATATGTGTGTTTGTATGTGTTAATAAATGTATTTAGATGTGGTATTTAGATGTGGATAAATGATTTATATCATTATTCAAATAAATGATAGATTAATTTGAATATTGTATATACAGGGTGACCCATTTTAACTTAGGCAGCCAAATAACTCGAAAAATAAGCACACTACGAAAAAATGGTTAGAATCAAAAATTTCGTCATTTCAAGGGGACGTACAATGACGTTAAAATCAGCCCCCCACCCCTCCCCTGGGCGGTGAGGGGGGGCAAGTTTGAAATCTTAAATGGGAACCCCTATTTTTCATTGTATATTCTTGTAGCTTATCTCGAGAGCTTTCCAAAACACTATAATTAAGTATCTTTTTATTAAGTACTTTTTGAGTTATAAGGCTTGAAATAATTCTTAATTTTACATAAACCATAAAATATCTAGTAAACCATTCATTTTTCGATTATCTTACCTTCATACTTTATGTACAAAATAATGAGAGGAATCAATTGGTGTAAAGAAAACATAGTTGTTTCTAAGAAAAAATATGTAATTGTTAATTTGCAATTACATATTTTTTCTTAAAAACAACTATGTTTCTTTACACCAATTGATTCCTCTCTTATTTTTGTACATAAAAGTATGAAGGTAAGATAATCGAAAAATGAATGGTTTACTAGATATTTTATGGTTTATGTAAAATTAAGAAATTATTTCAAGCCTTATAACTCAAAAAGTACTTAATAAAAAGGTACTTAATTATAGTGTTTTGGAAAGCTCTCGAGATAAGCTACAAGAATATGCAATGAAAAATAGGGGTTCCATTTAAGATTTCAACTTGCCCCCCCTCACCGCCCAGGGAGGGTTGGGGGGCTGATTTTAACGTCATTGTACGTCCCCCTCGAAATGACGAAATTTTGATTCTAACCATTTTTCGTAGTGTGCTTATTTTTCGAGTTATTTGGCTGCCTAAGTTAAAATGGGTCACCCTGTACAAT